TTCACCTATTAATGATTCAAATATTGTCTCTTAATGAAACTATTATGAGGTAAACAAACAACACCATAATATCCAAATTGGTGACTTTAGTCATTTGGATTTGGATATGTCAATTCTTGGTAAGGGTTTAGAATTGGATTGAATTTTATTATTTATATATAATTTATGAAAACAAATTTATAAAAATAATTAAATTACTTTTTTTATTAATTGGTTATTAGGAAATAAATATTTTTAAGTATTATTATAAAATTCCAACCACCTCCGTGAGATTTCAAAATCCTATGTTTGAGGGATTTAAAAAAGAAATCTTCGGATTTTAAATCCGAGCAATTTGCAAATCAAATACGGAATTGAAATGGATTTTAATTCCTGACCTTTTACATTCCTACAAACTAAGGGATGCTAAAATTACGAATAAAACGACCAAAAACTGTTAAAAAATACCAAATACTTTTAATGGGCTGGGCTGGTGGGCTGCTGACGAGATGTATACTGTAGTTTTTATTTGTCAATTATTTGGTTTATATGGGCCCGGTAGAGTACCGTTTCGCTATAAATAAATAAAAGGGCAAAATGCACAAAATAGCAATTTACTTTCATAAATTTCTTTATTATAGCATTGTACTTTCAGTTTTTCTTATTACAACAATGTACTTTCAAACTATTTTTTATTAGGACATTGTACTTTGAAAATTTTACCTATTATAGCAATGAGTAACCTTTTGATTTAAATTTACCCATTATACTAGGGTTTCATGCCACCTCATTGTCCACATAGGCTGTCYACATGTACTATAGTGATGTGACTTTCTTACTACATCATTGTACTTTCAAAATTATTTTATTATAGCATCTACTAGTTCTTAATAAACACTGTATTTTTAATTTTAATATTTAGATATTTTACATGTTATTTAATAAATGCATTAAATGAATTAAAAAAATTCTAAATTATTCATTAATATACCAATATCAATAAAACTAGTAGAACACAACTTATCTCGCTAACATTTTAAAAAAAAATATGTGTTTTTTGAAAAAAAGAAAAATAAGAATTGTTCTCTTTTACCAAAAAATATTATCTTTTAAAAAATATATTATATTTGTTCAAAAACTTTTTACTTGACATATAAATATATTAAATTAATTAGACTTTTTTGAATTATTTATTAATATAACAATATTAAAAAATTGTAGATAACAATTTATTTCGTTAATATTTTAAAGAGAACTTTAAAAGATATGTATTTATTTGAACAACATAAAATAAGAAAARTTAYTTTTTTTACAAACAAAATATATCTCGAARATAATGTTTCATATTTATTTAATAAATATTTTACTTTAAGAATATTTAATTTGAATGCAACTTAATAAGAAAAAGTAAAAAAAATTAAATGTTTTTTTAGATCATAGCAATGAAAAATGAAAATCATTAATAATAATTTGAAATATATTTTTATTTTTATTTTAGTTAAGTCATCAAAATGATGTGGCATCCACATCACCTCATTAAAGCCACACAAGCAAAAAAGTCAAAGGGTTAACCGGCTTAAAAGGTAACAGGTTACCCATTGCTATTATGAGTAGATTTTTTAAAGTACAATGCCTTAATAAAAAATAATTTGAAAGTACATTGCTGTAATAAAGAAAAACAAAAGTATAATGCTATAATAAGAAATTTTATGAAAGTAGGTTGCTATTTCATGCATTTAACCCTAAATAAAAACCCTTAATAAGAGATGGTCCGAGATCCATTACGTATTTTATGAAAATTTAATGCTTGGTATGATATTTTAAATTAAAAAAATTAATTTTTAAAATTATAATATAGGATTTTCAAGTTCTTTTTCGATTTTTCAAGGTTTTATCTATTTAAATGTGAATATTAACTTAAAAAAATAAATTATAAATATATATATATATATATATATATATATGTTATTATACAATACTTGACATTTGTGCAACCAATACAACCAAATCTCAATCGTCTATTTCATTTGATTAATATGTGATTCCATAGAAGTTTTGTAGTATTGATCATAATTAATGAACCATATTCATCTTCCATAAATATTTAAATCATAATAAATAAATTCTCATCATTTCCATAAATATCTCAATTTATTGGGTTGCATTGGTTGTACAAATGCGAAAGGTTGTATTTGAAACGAACTCTCTCTCTCTCTCTCTCTCTCTCTCTCTCTATATATATATATATATATATATATATATTAGAAGAATATTCGCGCAATGCAGCGAAATACATCTTGATTTTAATGTTTCGTTTTACCAATTATACATCTTGATTTTAGTCCAGTTATAATCGGTTGGTTTTTAACCAGACCGGTCCCTTACGCCCTGTTAAGCTTGCCCTTTGGAATTCTGAATAAAGATGGTAAAAGAGGTTTAATCGGTAGGTTAATATCTGATCAAAATGAGTTGGTGTTAAAACTGTTAATTTTTTTACAGGTTAAAATGGGTTTATGTTACTTTTCTTTTCTCAATTTTTAATATAAATAAATAATTCATTTTTTAAATATCATAAAGTTTTATTTAAAAATGGGTATAAAAGATCGCAAGTATATTTATATGATACATGTTAATTTAGATCAGTTTAACCATTTAGATATCAAATATAGCTTAAACTGGTCTATTTACAGGTAAATTTGTCAAACTATGGCTTCTAATTTTAAGATTAAACTATAGTCAAGTTGACAAAATAGTAAAAACCGTACGTTTGAACCTTTTGGTTAGAGGTGTGCAAAAACTAGGTTTAACCGGGCTTTTAACCGGTCATAACAGATCCTGGTCCTTGTCGGTTCTTCCATAACTAGTCCTTTTTCAGAAGAAAAAAAATCGTAATTGATTCAACTAATCTATATTATATTATAAAACATTTGATAGATACTTTTAAAAGCAATTTTTATGTATGAATTACTGTTTATTGATTCATTATTATTTAAATTCGAGGTTACAAGTAAATTGTGCGTAATTACAACTTACTAAAGCTTCATATTTGAACTCGTGTGTCTAACTGCAGATAAATATAATCAACTACAGCATAAAATCTTATTTTAAATATAAAAAATCTAAATTATAGTTAGGATAATCATTGAGTTACACTTATAACAGAATACTTAATTATTATCCTTAAAAAATATATTATTAAACCAAAAATAAATTAATTCGTTATTAAACCTAAATTAAAGTATAATAAAAATTTTGAATTAAAGAAATTAAATAAAGAATGAGAATTTTTAAATAATTAACGATATATTTTTTTCAAATTTTTATGAATATAAGCATTATCGTTTTTTGCAAAATCATATAAAACCGTATTATATCGACAAAGACAAAAAAAAAACGAAACATTATCTCGATGTATTTCGCTGCATTGCACGAGTATCCTTCTAGTTATAACTAATCCATAAAGCTCAATCCTTTTAACTGGATTTTAACATTTCAAATAAACTTAAAATTTAGTGATTTTTAATAAAATTTATATACTAAAACTTATGTTTCAAATATTTAATAAACCACCAACTCAAGCAAAATGTCCTAGACCCTTTGGTGAATAAGACAAAAAAAAACCCAGTAATCGGTCCTTTTAACAGCGTTTTGTTACAGATTTCGTAATTAATTCAACTTATAAAACTCCTAATTGTTCAGACTTCCAGTAATAATCGAGAGCAGCTGGTTTCACACCACTTACCCATCTCTATATGATGCCACCTCTTGTTTCAAGTCACGCCATCCTTCTGTATATGACGACATATTAAGATTTCGTATACTCGACTGGTAAAAGATCAAACACAACAATCAAAACAACTTTTCTTTCAAGATTTCTAATTTTAGTAAAGATAAGATACAACAGTGCTAAAACACTGATTTCATAACGAATGACAATTTTAATAACGTGCTAAATCTGTATTTATAGTATGTTAATAGCGGAAGTTTCATTTAAGAAACTTATGAACCATTATTCTGTGAGTATTCATAATGAATATACACAATATCAAATATTTATTCTCACGATAAATGTTGATCATGAACACTCATAAAAATGATATTTCCTAGGTTTCTAAAATAATTAATATATTGACTTGGGATCACGTGAGACCGGTCTGTTTTCGTGAGACCGCCTTTTTACACTTGAAACTTCACAGTAAAACGTTGTGAAGGTAACATTCACAGTGTTTTTACTGTGAATGTTCGACTTTTTTTACCTTCACATGTCTCACGAAAACATATTGGTCTCACGTGAACCAAACCCTTAATATATTTGTTATAAAAATTGTTATTCGAGTTCAGTATCTTATATTTTATAAAACAACGAATGATTTAATAATTACGACTGAAACCGAATGTGGGGCCCATCCGAACATTATACATGGTCATATAAGCTATAAATGGAATGTGTGTATTTGGGGGCACATTTAAATGTGCTTTCTTCAAAATATTTTGTTTTTTAAAATAACTTAGAAGCCATTTGCTAAACACTCACCCGTTAATTGCTTACCGATTAGATGTTAGTCCACCAAAACGACATACATCGTATACAACAATTTTCTCGGTAAGCGCTTACAGTAGTAAAAGTTGACGCCCTCACTTACCGGGTAAGACTCATGACCCTTTTTTCGTTCTTACCGGATAAGATTCTTGGTCGTTACGGTATTCATCCGGTGAGGTAATGTGACTTGGTAAACGTTTACCATATTTGGTTATAACTGTATTTTAAGAAAATTAAAGCAGAAGGTTCGTCATTTGTAGTAAATAAATTTTATTTTTCCCATTAGAAACCGAAAGAAGAGGAGGAAAAAACGCATCCATATAGATTCCTCGGCTGGCTATCTCTAGCCTAGTTTTTTTGTTGCGAGAAGGGCAAATTCGGGATTTACAAATAAATCTCGTGCACGGGCCCACTCGATACAGATAAAAGCCTCGCGCTTTCCTTTTAAGCTCTGATTTCTTGGCTCGATAAGTTTTCTATTTCAAGCGAAGGTGGGCATGATGGTCTTTTCACCATCTAAACCCAAAGACACCTTAGCCGTGACCTCTTCTTTCTTCTCACCAACCGCTTCATCTCCGGCCACCGACTTTTCTTGCATTTCCAATATTATCCCTAGCTCATGCACCCCAGCTTTATCTTGAATTTCCAATATCACCCCCAAGTCCACCCCAGCTTTTTCCTGCATTTCCAAGATTGCCCCTAAGTCCACCCCAGCTTTTTCCTTCATTTCCAAGATTGCCCCTAAGTCCACCACCGTTGCTGCTGGTCCATCTTGGGGCTGAACCACTGGTCTCACTTGCTTCTTCTTGTCTTTGTAGATCATGTAAAGTATCATTTGGGTTACACCAAAGACAAACCCTAACACGTTTGGAGTCTAAACAAAAAAAAAACATATTAAATATAATATTATATTATATATTATATATATATATATTCGAGAAAAAATTCATCTATGAAACCTTAAATATTTTTGGAATCCAAAAATCACCTATTTCATGAGTATTCATGAACATTTATCACTTTATTCATCATGAATACTCATAAAAAGAAGGTGGTCTAACCACAAGAATGGTGCCTGATTGGTTTGAGCTTGGCTCCAAAGGTCAAAAGTATCAGGAGTTCTCAGGTTCAAATCCAATGAGGAATAAAAATCCTCTTGTGACCACGGAGATTCAAATGCGATGACTCCGGGCTATTTTGCAGGTGGTCGTCTTGGGATTAGTCGGCTCGCATAGCGGGTCGGATATCCAGGTTAATAAAAAAATTGGTGGTCTATGGTTCCTAGTTAAAATATTTAAGGCTGCTAAATGCTACGTGAACCGTCTTCAAATAAGAATGTCAATTATCGTAAGAAAGTAAAAAAAGAAAGATTCATACGTGAATAATTGAAAAATTCTATCTGAAGATACATATGAAAACTTATATGAATATAATTCGTGTAACGTTGATTCACATATGAATTTTTAAATAGATTTTTTCCAAATTTTTTTAATGATTTAAACCGAATCATATATATGTATGTATGTATGTATGTATATATATATATATATATATATAATGTGCATAAAAGATGGGAACTTACAGCCACATAGTAATCTTTGATCAATAGTCCATAAAAGAACCACAAAACAGCACAGATGGTAAGGAAGAAAGACAAAGAGAAAGGCATATACTCTACACTTCTAGTTCTTATAACCAATCTCTGCATGTAACCAAACAATTCATTAGGATTATAATTTCAATTAATTAAATAAATTTCTGATTAATTATGTAAATAAGTGATTAATTAGCTTACAATAATGCTGAGAGGAGCAGCGAAAACACAGACCGAAAACACGGCACAAATCCAACCAACAATCATTACTCGTAAAGACCCTTGACTTGTTAAAAGTGTCGTGATTACAATCAGCCCGTATGATCCGATGTTGAATAAAACGAGAAGCTTGATCGTGTACATCTGTGTATATTGATCCAAATAAACTAATCAAGATTATATTTATATATATATATATATATAAACACCCAATACAGTATCTGGGTTATCAGTAGATTTTAATCGGATTAGGGTTTTAAAGGAGTGCAGTATGTACCGTGAGTTTTGTTGTATATAAATATTATATATACACTGTACTTACCAGGGATTCTCTGGTAGCATAGATGAGAAACACAACGATATAAGCAGTTTCAATGGCGCATCCGATGGCGTTGATGGTGATGATCATCATACCGTTTTCGGTCTTTAAATAGCCGTAGTACAAAAGCAACATGCAACTAAAGAGTGACACTGAATACGGTACTGATTGAAACCCTTCTGTTGATTTCTTCTTGTAGATTCTGTAGAATGTTGGCCTGAAAATTTTCAAGAAATTAGTATTTTTGTTTTATATAAAAAGTGATGAAATATCGACATATAGATTGAAACTTTGATGAATTCTGAAAAACCCCAGTTGCGTTATATACATTCAAATGTGTGTATGTATACATACATATATATCATATATATAATTTTCAAGAAATTATTATTTTTATAAAAAGACCCAAAATACATCATAAAGATCGAACTTTGAAGAAATCTGTAGAACTCCAGTTGGGTTACTTATAACATTCAAAAACATACACACATACATACACACACACACACATATATATATATATATACATATCAAAGAAGTTATTATTTCTATAAAAAGATCCGAAATTTCGAAAGAAAGATTGAAACTTTGATGAAATTTGCAAAACCCCAGTTGGGTCATATACATACACACACATATATACACTCACTCACACACACACACATATATATATAATTTTCAAGAAATATTATTTTTATAGAAAGATCCAAAGTAGCAACATAAAGATTGAAACTTTGATGAAATCTGTAAGACCCCACTTAGGCTATATGCATTCAAACACAC